GCTGCTTAAATCGGATTGAAGAACTAGGCGGTCCGGAAGTATTCTTCTCTCAGAACTTTCCGTACACGGCGACATTGCAGCATAAAGAGCAAGCCTTCAATGACGAACATGAAGACGACCAAGACGATGAGGAGGACGAGGAGGATGAGGAAGAAGAAGGAGACGAAGAAAATCAAGATGACGAAACGGATGAAGACGACGCAACAAATGAAGAGGATGAAGACATGGAAAGCAAGTATGCCTTGTTGCCGTTCGAGCACCCAACGTTTGATCAACATCTCGCCAGCGTACGCGTAGTCATCGAGAACTCGCAGGAGGAATGTCCCGAGCGAGGCTTCGAGGATAAGACACATTGGCATACTCGTCGTTTGCTCGATTCCAAGCACAGGACATTTCCTCAAAAGCCAACAACCAAATGGAACAATCTTGCGCGACGGAACCAGCAAAGATTCCGAGACTTCACCAAATATGCAGCCAGCCTTACCAACGCCAAGGGCAACGTGCTCGAACAACAAGTGATCGTGTCATCAAAAGTCGCCAGAAAGCAACCGAAAGCTGCTAAATTATCGTCTAAAGCAAAGCAGCTGATAGAGAAACAGGAGGTTGAAAGGGCCAAAAAAGAAGAGTCGTCATGGATAGATTCATGGCAACGTAAGCTCCTCGGATTGCAAATGCTGGACCTTCATCATCAGGTGGACGACGTCAAAGCTTTCTTAGACCGGCAGGAGACCCGGAAGCGAGGTTTCCTCGAGCCCGAGGTCCGCCTATACCTATTGACTCTTCTTGTGGCTCTGTGGCAGAAAGAGTCCTCCCCCCAGGAACAGGATAAGCTCGTCGCCTCAGCGAGGGATGTGTGGGACCAAATTCGAACTCTCCGGCACAAAATCAACTTCATGACACATGAAATGTATTCAATCTTTCGTGACATATGCAGTAAGCTCAGCATCCATGATACACCGTCGCCGTCGTCCTCTCTTCCGAGTCGGCAGTTGTGTTTTCATTTCGATATCAGTTGCATTAAACCACGCCAGCTGGGTGCGCCACTTGACTTTCAAGCCTTTCAACTGCTCCATTGTGGGCCATTTATGGATCGCCAGACTGGCGCAAAACCCGACGACCGTGTGGGCTTTGAACCGGACAAATGGCAGAAGGATGTCCTCGATGAGCTTGACAAGAACCATAGTGTCTTCGTCGTAGCTCCAACCAGTGCGGGAAAGACTTTCATCAGCTTCTATGCTATGTCGAAAGTGTTGCAGGAAGACGACACTGGAGTCCTGGTATATGTAGCTCCGACAAAGGCGCTGGTGAATCAGATCGGTGCAGAGATCCATGCACGTTTTCGGAAAAGGTACCCGGGCCCTGAGCAGACAGTTTGGGCTATCTCTACTCGTGATGTCCGCATAAACGATCCTTTGAAGTGTCAGATCTTAGTGACAGTGCCTCACTTTCTCCAGATTGTAAGTGCAACTAACTCAGCTATAACTCTTCCTCTATAGTATTCTTGACTGACAGCAGTCTTTAAGATGCTTTTGTCCTCATCGAACGCCACCACATGGGCTCCTAGAGTCAAATGCATCATCTTTGATGAGATTCACTCGATAGGTCATACCGAGGATGGCTTAGTTTGGGAGCAACTCTTATTGCTTGCTCCGTGTCGTATCATCGCTCTTTCTGCAACCGTGGGAAATCCATCAGAGTTCGCTGATTGGCTTCAATCGACTCAGAATAACATGGGGTTGACTCTCAAACTGATTCAGCATACACAGCGTTACTCAGACCTTCGGAAGTATTTCTATATGCCGGCAGATCGTCCCTTCGAAGGCCTCTCCCGATCGAGGCATAAGGGCCTCCTTGAGCCCAAATTTATTCAGGGCTTGCACCCCCTTCACCCAATCACCAGCCTTCTCAGTAAGCAGCGGCAAATGCCTGAGGATCTTTCCCTTGAGCCGAGAGACTGCTATACACTTTGGAGATGTATGGTAAAGTACTCATCAGTCGATTTCCCTGTGCCAGAACCTCTGAGTCCACAACTTGCTCTTCCACCGTTCATTAGGCGGAGCGATGTGTATGAATGGGAGGCGCAGCTTAAGGAACTTCTATCGATATGGATGCAAGATAGTCACTCTCCCTTTGAAATGGTGCAAAGCGACCTGGAGGATATCTTCGCACCTGCTCAAGGATTGCAGGTTTCAGAAAGCAACGAAGAGAATCAGAGTGATCTAGTGGTTCCCGAACGTCAAGACACGAAGAACGAGCTATGCACATCTGTGTTCCCACTCCTCGTGGATTTGCACTCCCAAAATGCCCTACCTGCTCTGCTTTTCAACTATGCACGGACGACATGCGAAAAGATCGCGATCACGACTCTAGAGCATCTAGTCAAAGCTGAGGACAAGTACAAGAGTGGTGCATCATGGAGGCAGAAGATGGCGGACTACGAGAAATACAGGAAACTTGCGTCCAAGAAAGCTCAAACCGATGAGAAAAGCAAGAAAAAGAGGAATCCTAAACAATCTCGGGAGGAAACTGAGAGCGCCGCAAAGGATGTGGAGGAAGATAATAGTCCATTCAAGAGATTTGACCCGGACAGGCCTCTAGAGCAATTTTCGTTTGCCGATACTCACAAATTCGACTGGACAGACCTTCACCAGGAGATAGAAATGATGAAAGGGCGCAAGGTTAAGCCTCTGCTACTTGAAGCTCTGAAAAGGGGAGTAGGCGTCCACCATGCCGGACTGAATCGTCGTTACCGCCAGTGGTATGAGATGTGATCTCCTTGATACGAGCATTGGATATTAGCTAACCATTTACACAGCGTCGAGAGGCTATTCCGCGCAGGATTCTTGCGTGTTGTTGTAGCCACTGGAACGCTGGCTTTGGGTATCAACATGCCGTGTTCGACCGTGGTCTTCTGTGGTGACAGCGTCTTCTTGACCGCGCTCAATTTCCGTCAGGCTGCTGGTCGAGCAGGGCGTCGAGGATTTGATCTTCTCGGAAATGTCATCTTCCATGGCATTCCCCGTCACAAGGCATATCAATTGATGAGTTCACGGCTTCCGGATCTAAACGGCCATTTCCCTATCACGACCAGTCTTGTGCTTCGACTGTTCATCCTTCTTCATAATTCCAAGGAGTCGCCATACGCAGCACGGGCAATCAATTCTTTGCTGTCTCAGCCACGCATTAACTTCGGAAGTGTGGAGTCGAAGGACAAGGTACTCCATCACCTCCGCTTTTCCATTGAATATCTGCGGCGCCAGGGTCTCATCGGGAGACACGGAGAGCCAATTCGCTTGGCTTCCAGCATTGCGCATCTGTACTACACTGAAAATAGCGCCTTCGCATTTCATGCTCTTCTTCGTGCAGGCTACTTTGAGGAATTGTGCAAGCAGCACCGGAAGAACACCGAGAAGAAGCTGAGGACGTTGATGATTGTGCTCGCCCATCTATTTGGAAGAAAGTCTCTCGGCTATCGATACAAGGAACTTCTGACCCGAAGACAAGAGCTGAAGTCTCCCTCGGTCGTGATGCTGCCACCGCTGCCACCGAATGCCGTATCGGCGATTCGTGCCCATAATCAGAGCATTCTCAAAACATATACAGCGTACGTCGAGACATTCGTCGAACAGCACCTGAAAGAACCCGAGTGTGAGTTGCCGCTTAGCAAAGTGCCAGTCGGGGGCAGTGGGGACCAAAAGCTCAGTCGCTTGCTGGGAGTACTGGGAGCGAATCAATCACGTTCAGCTTTTGTTGGGCTCTCGGGTCACGATGATCATTTTAAGAGCATGAAAGACCTCTGTAATTCGGTCCGGTCGGGCGTGTTTCTCGAGGAGAGTGTCATACCACACCTTGATGTTTATCCGGATGGCGGTATGGCACCTTTGAATGCCTATCTGTATGACTTCTTCTGTCACGGATGTGTGGAGCCTCTTGAGGTCGCCAATTTCATCTCTCGTTCTGACGCGTGGTTTCTGCTGAATGACTTCTCCCTGATCCTGGCTACGATCATTGTTTCTCTGCAGGTTTATCTTGATTCTGACCTGAAGAGTTCATGTTCGGAAGATATGTTCGCCAGCGATGACTCTTCGTCATCTCTTTCGGTCGAGGATGAAGAAGAGAAAATATTCGCGTCGAAACGCACTGACAATCAAGTTCCCCAAATGCGACAATCACTTGGGACTACCAGGGCTACGACTGACGAGGATGTGTTGGAGAAATGGGACGAAGGTATGAGCGACGACAGTGATTCCTCCTTCGAAGACGAGGATACCACAGAGATTCCGGGTATTCTGCCTGAGAACCGAGCTTCATTGGTGTCGTTGGAGGTGCTGAATGCCTTCCGCGAGTTAAAGGATCAGTTCGACGAGAAGTTCCATGCTATCTTCGCTTAAGGCAATATGCACATGAAGTTTCAGGTCATCTATTGATGGATGTTGCAAACAGTAAAACTTCATGGCGGCCACATCGAACCCGTCTGGTTGGTTCTGAGCATCATGTGCGACTTTGACATGTTAGAGTATTGGAGATGCACTTGAAGTAAAGCAAAAAGAAGTGTTTGGACGATCCGTTCTAGCTAGAGTAGATTTGTGACAATTTGGCCCATCTGCTGGATGATCTTTATGTCCTTGAGCAATAGATGTTGTCATAATCAGAGTTCGGCCATCCCCTACCAGTAACGCCAGGCTAGAGATTGGCTTGGTCAAGAGCTCTCTGCTCTTATTGGCTGCTTTAGTGACTACTGGCTGACTACAAAATACTCGGAGATAGGGGTTAACGGAAAGCGGAGAACCCTCAGGATGACATAACCCGGAGTCGGTGACATATCGTTAACCAAGTTAAGCAACAATGCCCCAACTCACTACTACTCAGATCAAACAGATCCGAAAGGCATGGACACTAGCTTCTTTCTTGTTTCGATGTTTGAAGCTGCAGAGATATTGGATACCGGATACGTTTGATATAGCCTCCCGCAGCAACAGTTGATCACATACCTTACCGATATGAATCCATCTGGTTCGTCTTCCGCTGGTGGTAACGGGTCGGAAGAGTCTCCGCCTCGGAGAGTCTCCGGTACAGTGTGGCACCCGGCTAGAGAGTGGCTTGAACAGGACGAGGGAGACGACATGGATTATGAACCGGAGTCCGAGGTTACGGAAGATAGAGACGAGGATGAATATGACGATGAAGATCAAAATGAGGATGAGGATGAGGATGAAGATGAAGATGAAGGTCACTTCGGTAGCTTTCCCCGCGATGGGCTGCTGTCTTTCCGTACAAGACTAATCTTGGGTCGAACGATTTGAAGACCCTCACTTGCGTCTAGGTAATATACATATTGAGTTCTCCATGGATGACCCTGATCAGGAAGATACTGGCGGAGAAACTCAGGAAGGTAGACACACTCGAGGTAACCATTCATCCAATGAATTACTCGCATTTGCTTCTTTCTCGACACTGACCGGTGCAAGCAGTATCGGCTGCTCGATTATTGAATCTGTTAGCTTCCAATGGTCTGCGACATATCCTCCACTACAATGGGTGGCGAGGGGGTACGTTAGGTGATGAAGATGAAGACGACGAAGAGCTCGGTTTCTTGAGATATTCACGAAGATCACGGCGTTCCGGAGCTGAGAACCTACCGAAGGTTCCAAGTGATGAGGGTACGGAACTCATGCGATCCGGTGATTTCGGAGAGGATCCTTACTATGTCGACATGCTGAAGAAACGCAAAAAGACGCTTGCGGCAAAGATCATGTGGAGAGAACTGGGTGTTGACGTATCTGGGAGGCATAGACTGTCTGTGCAGAGAACTGCACAAGTAAGTTCTTGACCTCGTGCGATGGAAAAGGAGCTTTGTACTAATTGGATGGGCCTCTCAGGACCTGATACCTGGTTCCGCCGCAGACAAGATCATTCATTATGACTCGCGATGTTATTCGGGTCAGTTCTCTGACGACGGTAACTTCTTCTTCTGTTGTGCGCAGGATTTCAAAGTCCGGATGTACGATACATCAAATCCATTTGAGTGGAAGTACTACAAGACTGTCGACTATCCATTCGGCCAGTGGACCATTACCGATGCGAGCTTGAGTCCAGACAACAAGTTCTTGGCATACACATCGATTAGAAATATCGTCTGCCTTGCACCGACAGACCCAGCTGACCAATCCGACCCCTCTGTGTTGGACCTGTCCTTAGGCCGTGTTGGGCGAGGCTTCCACGACAGCTCGCATACTGCGGTGCGCATATCCATAAAATGACCGGCCGCGTAGTCACTGACGAGGTAACAGATATGGTCAATCCGCTTCTCGGGTGATGGACGCGAAATAGTTGCCGGAAAATCTGACAATTCCGTAATTGTCTATGACATCGAAACACGGCAGTCTGTTCTAAGGCTACAGAAGCACGAAGACGACGTCAACGCCGTCTGCTTCGGCGATAAATCATCGCCTCACATTTTGTACTCTGGCTCGGATGACTCCACGATTCGTGTTTGGGACCGGCGTTCCATGGGCGACGGCCGCGAGGCTGGAGTGTTCATCGGCCATACGGAAGGCATTACATATGTCGACAGCAAAGGAGACGGCCGATATGTACTTTCCAACGGGAAGGACCAGACGATGAAATTGTGGGATTTGAGAAAGATGATGACAACGGCGAGGTTTGCCGACATCGATGTGAGCAGTTATACCACCGGTTATGATTACAGATTCGAGCCCTACCCCGAAGATTACTACGAGCCACATCCACACGACTGCTCCGTTGTCACGTTCCGAGGTCATCGGGTTCTCAAGACACTCATCCGTTGCCATTTCTCGCCGTCGAGTAGCACGAACTCGCGCTACGTGTACACCGGAAGTGAAGACGGCAAAGTGTATGTTTACAACCTGGACGCAACGCTTGCGGGCACTATTGATGTCGGACTTGCAACTCTGAATTCGAGGCCGCGCGATCCTGATATCTTCACCACCGCGTATGAAATCAGGAGTAGAAGCGGGGAGATGCTGTGGAGGACCTGCGTTCGAGATGCGAGTTGGCATCCCAACGCGCCTGTCCTTGCTGGTAAGACTATCGTTTTCTAACTTTTCTAACTCTGAAAATACACTGGCGAGATGCTGACTGTAGTTTAGCAACATCCTGGAACGGCTGGGGTTTGTCCACAGGTACCTGCAGCCTGCATAGCTGGAACGATGGTGCTGCTGATGACGAAGGTACTCCATCGATCGGGAAGAGCTACGATTGCAAGTTAAATTACTTGCCCGAGTTCAACCAGTACAAGGAAAAATCGGTACGGAGTCGGCCTGTCAGAAGGAGTCCATTGGACGAGGAACTTGCATATGAGCTCTGGTGATTTCTGTACATAAGAACAAAGCTTCGGTATATCTTCGCTTAGACTACATTCTTCCCTAGAGTACTCGGATATCTGTTCACATTCAACTGCCGGATCGAATTAGGGGATTGGAGCAAGCACATAGTTCGCCGCTTGTCTTGAGATTTCGAAATGTTCTCATGACAATTGATGTATTGTAAAAAGAACAAAAGCTGCATTTGCCTTCCAAAGCTTCGTGAAAGGCCTGGAGATAAAAAGAAAAAGCAAAGGTGGTATTTATACAAAATTGACGCAAGGGCATAATAACCCGAAGGCAACTTGTTGCCGAACTCTCTGGAGCATGCTGAAACAATGGTCTTCTAGGGCCCCATATCGATTTTCGCGATTTATCTTCGTCTCCGGTAGATATGAACTCGTTCAGATCCTGTCGCCACGCGATTGGCTAGGTTCAATCTCGGAGCACCCTCTTTGGCACCTGCTTCATGTTTGCATTTGGTTTTTGTCGCCTCCATTTTAAGCGCCACCGACGAGGATGTTGTTGACGGGAATGTGTACTATAGTGAAAAGCACATTTAGCAAGGGTCGTCTCATGCTTGCCACGCCTCTCTGGTATACTTACTTAACTTGATGAAGTACCCAATGGCTATTCTAAGAGTAAGCATATCTCCTGAAAAGCACTGGGGCGTTAATTGTTCTATAAGGAGGAAAACTGACCACCCTGGAAGCAGTTAGTATTCATAGGCTCATAAAGTTATCGCGCAATAAGACGAGAAAAACTTACCATGATGATGAAGCCCATGCCTACAGCCTGGCTGATCTTGATGAATTCACGCTTGTCGGCTACACATTTGAATTAGGTGAGACTTGTTCCCGGAGCTCTATCAAAGATAGACCTACGCTTGGTGCATCTGCGCACGAACAGCATGCCATCCCGAAGGAAGTCGCGAGGGATGTCGGCGAGTTCTTGAATGGTGTCGGACATTAGTGCTGTGTGAGTCGGAAGCGACGTGGGATGAAAGGAGGGAAGATAAAATCAGTAAAATGTGAGAAGGTCAATGGTTAAAGAGACCCGGGAAGTGGAAAGTTTGAGAAGGTCGTAAAGAAGTAAAGAAAGGGTGGATGTGGAATGAGCGAGAGGATGATCTCGACAATAAGTCACCACGATGCTTAATCGACAGGTCATCCCCTAACAGGAGAGCTGGCCTCTGGGGTTCGGACTTTTAATTCCGCCGGGCCGGGGAAGTCAGCTCCACAAGCTCCAATCGACATCAAAGCTACCGCTTCTCTCTTGTTATCGCCGTCGACGCGCTTCACTACGTCTTTGAAGGATTAATTGCTTATCGTGCTCGCTCAATCCTCGACTATCAACCTCCATTGTGTTTTTTCGTCGCCTCACGCGGCGTCCGACCGTCCTTCGACAACAGGTCAGGGGAGACAGATCAGGCTGGGATCCTGTTGACTGCATGGGCTGCAACAGCCTTGACGGACCTCTACTAATCTTTCAACCCCTCAGTCTACCTACTAACTCATTACACCATCTGTGATTTTGTCTCAAGATCTATACCGTTCGTGTGTGCTAGCAAAGTGCCTTTGCCAGGCTGTGGCAGTCGGGACTCTGCGCGGCGCCTCAGATTCTGTTGAAATATCTCCGCACCCGTCTCTTTCATTATCGGAACTTCTGATACCTATTTTGTCTGTATTTGGAACGCAAAGGAAGAGGAGAGTGAGAGGAATACCTACGCCCTGTGTCTCCGTTCAGGAGCTGTCAAATCTACGAACTAGTGGAGACTTTGTTCCTTTTTGAAGCTGTGTTCGCTTCGAATTGTACGTATCTTCGAGCCTTCTTCTCATACTGTGCTACGCTCGTACGTTTTGTCTTTCTTCACTATTTGCACCTATTTGGTTTGCTTGGCTCTGCACTACGTCCCTTGCCCAAGGGAAGCCAAACGTTACTCAAGATTCCTTCCAATCAACACATGTTCTTTCCTTGCTAATGAAAATCTGTGTGTGCAGACATGTACTTCCAGTGACTGGTCGAGGCTGAAAGAAGAACCAAGAAAACAAAGATTGTATATTTGCACAACATTCTGCCTTGATATCACGATCTATATCTAAACACGATGGCCACTGAAGATGATAACTTCGATATTGACATCTATGGTGACGGCGGTGGCTACAACGCCAACGACCAAGGAGACTATATCAAGCATGAGGACACGGAGCTGATCCTAGACGCACCAGAGCAGACACAAAACGGCGCCGCTGGCCAGAGCCAAAACAGTACAGAGCAGAAAGCTCAACAGGAGCAGAGAGACGGCACTGGTCCCAACGGTGAACGCGTAACACAGGCGCACGACGCCCAGCAGCAAGAAGCTTCTCAAGCAGCCCCGGCGCCGCAACAGGGTGTAAAGCGCAAGGAGCACGATGATCGTCCGTCGGATCCTGACGCTACAACTGCTTTACTCATTTCTGACCTGTATTGGTGGACTACTGACGATGACATCCGTGGCTGGATCAATGCAGCCGGGTGCGAAGATGAACTCAAGGATGTAACGTTCAGTGAGCACAAAGTCAATGGTAAAAGCAAAGGGTAGGCCTTCTTTTCTGTTTTCCTGCGTGTTCTGCCATGCTAATTATCCAATACATAATAGCCAAGCGTTTGTTGAGTTTACCACACTCCAAGCAGCAACAGCTGCCAAGCATCAAATTGAGAACTTGAATGTCTCAAGTCAAGGGGGCCGTAAATACACGGTTCATTATACGAACCCTCACACAAACCCATTCCGCACACTTCCTAAGGACGCCCCTATGCGCAAGGACAATCAGGCCCGTTCACTATCAGGAGGTTTCAACTCGCCGAATCAGAACATGAACTTTGGCATGAACAACATGGGCGGAGGCTTCCGCGGCGGACGGGGAGGTTTCAGCAACCGCGGCGGTATGAACAACATGGGAGGCTTCGGGGCAGAGGCGGCTTTCAGAACACAATGGGCGGTTTTCAAGGCAGCCCTATGGTCGGAGGCTTCCAGGGCAATCCAATGGGAGGGATGCAGAACTACGGCTTTAACAACCGTGGCAATATGATGGGCGGCGGCATGCGCGGCGGTCCTGGTGGAATGCGCGGTCGCGGTGGTATGGCTGGGCCGAATATGATGGGAATGCCAGCGATGAATCCCATGGGTGGTATGGGTATGAATCCTATGGCTGGTGGGATGAACCCGATGATGGGTGGAATGGGTGGAAACATGGGCATGCAAGGTGCGTCTAGCAGTGCTCGATGTCTTAGAGACACTTTGTCATCGTTGGCGGAGGATCGTGCGTTTTCTGACATATCTTTTTCTAGGAACAGGCGGCTTTCAAGGCCCCAACCCAGCTTTCAATCAAGGCTTCTTCCCTCAAAACCAGGGAGTCAATGATGGGTCGTGGAACCCCCACGGTGCGAAGCGTAGTCGGCAGGAGTAGGGTGATGCTCCTCAGCTAACAGTATTCTTTCTTCTTTTTTTTGTTTCTGCCCCAATACATCGTTATTCTCGCGTGGCATCTGAACCTGATGGTTGTGAACTCATCTGTACCAAAGTCTTCTTTTATAACTCTTTCGTTTGCGCTGGGCTGTCTACTTTTCTTTTCTCTTCGTTAATTGTCGTTACTCGAACGGTCTATTGGGGAATCTGGCTATTCATTTTCTGCGGGTCTGCAAGCTTTTTCCAAGGTGTATTAGATAAATTGAAAGTGTCTCATTTCGTTTTCAGGTGTCTCTTTGAGTGACGTTGTCTCCCTGGATTCAAGGACTCTCGCTCATAGTCGCTTGTATATACGCCTGGGCCTGCGGAGCCTTAAGAGTCTTTGGTGTTAAGCATTGATTATTGACTGTGCAAAGCATGCGCCGTGATGCATTTTATTCTAAGACGCCAAGTTACCATTTCACTGGCGTCTAACCGGTATTCCTGATGTGATCAGTGCATGAAACCACGAGGGCAGTCATTCAGGGACCTCGTCTCAGTCAGAAGCAATCTATAGTGAGCTACTACCCGCTAATGAGTACCTTCAATCAGCATCTAGCGCCGAAACGAGGTATGAGACCGAGATTCTGTCGGCCCCGAGGCCCTATTCGCAACGCTGACAACCTTTCTGAATGTTCAACAGACAATGGAAGACACATAGGATATATTCTTGAGCCGAGTTTGACCAGACTACTTCGGTGAATGGAGGATGAGGTTATACTTCACTCACAGCCATACATCATCGTGACCATTACTTGCTTGATTACCCAGCCAATTCTTCCCTATCCCCTAATCCTCAAGTTCTTGACTCTGCCACGAAGTGATAAAGGAGGCAGAACGCAGGTCAGACAATCAATCATCTCACCGCTACCCCTAATCCGAGTCCAATGAGTCCCACACCCCCAGTGACCCGGGAGGGGTTTGAATACTACAACCATGAATTCTACGCCATATCGAATAATAAACCCTACCGTCGCTACAGCGTCGCTGAACTCAAGGCCTTCTTCTTCTTGTCCTCTTCGAAAACGTCTGTTCAGTACCAGACTGCTCACTGGTACCGAGCTCAGCTCCTTCACTATGGCCTTCAGCCATCAGATCGCAAGGGCACGGCGATGTTGAGACTTGTAGATGCATTGAATCAAGATACGCTAGAAGTGCCTCCTCATTTAAAGAGGCTGGAAAAAGAACTGAAACGGGAGTGGGATACAAACAAGAAGAGAGCGAAGGAAACTTCTTGCAAGCCGGCAAAAAGCAAGGCTAATACTGCTTCTGAAGATGCGATCGACCAAAATGACCTTGCTACTATCCTGGTCGCTGCAAGGGCTGCAGGACCTAGTCTGAACGTCAACGTCAACCTAGGCATCGTGGAGGATAGAAACGGTCAACTCCCTTTGCAACGAATTAAGGCTGAAGAAAAGCAGAGGGAGATAGAGATCCCCAGAGAGAAACGAGTACATAAAAACTATGGAGAGATAAGCAAAAGAAGACTTGACGTATTGCTCCCTTCTCTAGCCTCACTTAACCGTCTGCTCACACTTCGCACTGAAACTAGATTCCTCAAACGCGACGGATAACGCTCGGTCTTCTTAACGGATCGTACAAGATTGACTCGCAAGAAGTTAACGCTCGCAATTCAGGAATCATCCTCTGTCTGGACAGGACGAGCATCTGGGGTGAATTTCAAATTGGTGAACTGGAAGGCATTCTCTTATGCCACAGCGTCCGTACCAAGTGACATCTTCAGGCGAAGGTGGATGCTTCTTCAAATGGCGCGGTGTTGATCAGGTCAGCGGCGAGGTTTATGCGAATCCCAGCTGTACTGGCGAGATGAGGTTTCTTGGAAATGGAGAGATTGAGGGGGCATTCAACAACGTGCCTGACACATATACGGACTACATTGACTGTCACTTCTGGGGCGATCGCACGTCCGACAAGAATGTGACTCGAGCCCCTCGGGATGCTTGGAGTATGAGGGATGAGTGGCACACTATCTGCGAATAAGCTCTCCGACTACTGGTTTCGAAAATCGACGATTGGGTCTCTGCGCATTAGGAGCTGCAGTAGGATCGCCGAAGGATTGTCTGAGGTTTTCATTTTAGGGTCTTTTGATTTTTCGACTAGACGTTTGTAGTCAAAAATTCTGCAACAGGGAATCCCCTCTGCCTTAATGAATCGTCTCTTCCTTGCACTTGAGCCTACTTTATTTGTTCATTGACCATTGTATTGACGCATGAAGGACAGAAATGTTTCGATAAGCGATAGATAAGAACACCGATAACGGATCAATGATAATGCGAACTGTCACCGTCACTTTACCCAGAATGGTCTGGAAGACAAGGATGATCCCATGAATAGTACAGCAATCTATCTGCCATCGTCAGGCATTCTTGACGCAATTGTGGAAGACTGTCTCTCCCATGTCTCTGCTATAATCCCTCATACCATCCTAACAGTCTCAAGACATCCACTTTTCTCTCAAGAGTCCGCGCACCCTGTAACAGTCGTGCTCCTACCTTACTAACCAGTCGCAACATCCGTCTTCCCCGCGGTCCCTTCCCCCACCCGCTCTCAGCATCCTGTTGATCTTCCCATTCACACTTGAGCACAAGACACCCGCGTCATCGACAATGCAAGCCGTCCCTGAGTCGCGACAACAAACATTTGAGGAGATCTACGGGCCTCCCGAGAACTTTCTCGAGATTGAGGTACGCAACAACAGCTTCCATCCCGAAACTACCCCGCTCTATCAAAGTCACCGACGAGTCCGATATCATACTCGCAATCCAACTCGAGACTAACCTCTCGTCGTATTCAGGTCCGTAATCCCCAGACACATGGCACATCCCGCAACATGTACACCTCGTACGAGATCGTCTGCCGAACAAACATCCCCGCCTTCAAGCTGAAGCACTCGGTCGTGCGCCGACGGTACTCCGACTTTGAATACTTCCGCGACATCCTGGAGCGCGAAAGCACGAGAGTCACCATCCCGCCCTTGCCGGGGAAGGTGTTTACGAACCGGTTCAGCGACGACGTCATCGAGCATCGTCGCGAGGGTTTGCAGCGGTTCTTGCAGATCGTTGCCGGTCATCCGCTTTTGCAGACGGGGAGTAAAGTGCTAGCCAGCTTTATACAAGGTGAGTTATCTTCTCTTGGTCTGGTGGAGTACGAAGAAGAAGAAGGGCTAACGGCTGTGTAGATCCAAACTGGGACCGCAATGCTTGGTAATTGATACTTCCAGCGTCGAGGTCGTCTCGCTACGCTCCAATTCGGTCATATCCTTTCCTTTTCCCCCTTGTAACCTCTCAATGACCACCAGCGTCTCAGATATACGTCGTGTTCGCTGCGGTCTCCGCACTAGCTTCCTCTCCCCTTCCTTTTCCAAGACCCATACGACTGTTGAATTCTACATTTGATTTGTTACGCAGGAGCGCAAAAGTGTAAAGCAGCGTTTCTGTGTTCGTCTCAAGACACTTTGGGGGCGCGGTATCTCTTTGCTTGCTACTATTGCAGTACGGTGACTGTATGTTTCCAGACTGTTGCACTTTTGACTATTGCCTTATATCGCACTTGGTTCACATATCCCATTTGCAATTTTTCGCGTCACGTTGTGGATTGCCGTCTTGACAGCATGGCGAACGTCGTGGTTCCGCTAATTCAGCGTTAATTTCATTGCCCCAATACGAACTTCTGCTACTCAAGGCTCTAATTTCTTTCCTCAGTCAAGTAAGGGATGCTGTGATAATCACATACGTCGACAAGATCTACGAGGCCCTAGAAAGATCTTTCCGAGAGGTGAAAAGGAAGTGATATCTCAATTCCGGAGAACCAGAGAACTATTATCAGTCTCCTCACCGGTAGAAGTTCAGTTTCTTCTATTCTCTTCTATTTTTCCTTTCCTTTTCCATTTCCTAATCCCATTGCTGCCAACGCCGAGCTGGCATGGATAAAAGGCGAGTGTTTCAAAACTTAATTAGCAAAACCATCGTGTACTGCGGGGTATTGGGTTTGATCGAAAACAGAGCAAATTGCGATAACAAAACAAGGAATGAGATGAGGTGAATGGAAAAAGCGAGAATGAGAGTGTAAAAAGGCCCGAAAATGGAGAAGCCTGCAACGGCAACGAGTGTAAGTGGGAAAATTAGAAGATGATGGGCAGCGAGAGTAAGAAGGTCAATAAACGGCCGGTATGGAAAAAAGTAGAATTAGGCCAGCTCATCCCAGACCATCGGTGCGAGTGTGTTATCCGCCCAGGATGCGTCAACGCCGGGGGCATTTGAAGAGTTCTCGTCCAGTGGGAAATGCAGAATTGTAGTTCCTGCTGGCGCGTTTGCCGCCGCCTCGAGCAAGCCCTGTGGAGGAGCAGGCGGGGAGAGGGCCGGATCAATAGGTCCCAAGGAGACTTGGTCTGCCCAATCAGTTTTACCGCCTCGTGCGGAGGACGTGGATTGCCGAGTAGGTTGTGTATTGGGTTTTATGGGAGGTGCTTTTTTTGTATCTGCCAGGCCTACGCCTTGACTCTGGCTATGCAATGATCTACCGTTGACGGAGCCCCCGTCACGATACGCGTGGGGAAACTTGGTTCGGAATCGATCCCGAAGATCAGTTGCTTTCCGGTGGCTAAGGTTCAAGCGTTTATCTTGCTGAATGAGTGTCCACTGGAATCCGTGAACAGCATACCCTTTGAGTAGAGCTTCGTCTTCAGCGACGGTAAATGGGCGGCGGGAGCGACGCCGGGATTTCATGGCAAAGTGTGGTTCAGGAATGCCGAGAGAAGCAAGAGTGGATTTAGATCTATTTGAAAGAGTAGGTGTGGCCTTGAAAGATGGCCCGTATTTCGAGCGGGACTTTGGAGTTTTGGTATCGGCTTCCGAGGACGAGCCGGTGGAGGCTGACTCGTTCACATTGGCCATTGAGCCTCCATTGGAAGAATGAGACTCCGAATTGGCCGGCCTTGGTTGTGGAAGCAGAATCTTTCCAGCCGTGCCATCGGAACCTTCCGTCTCAGCTCTGAGGAGTGCATTGGCCAACGTATCGTGCAACTGCTTTGTGGCCTCGTTTGGATCGGCAGCGCTATAGAAAGTTAGAGGGCCGCAACCGAAGAATGTCAAAGTGGAAACTCACCGATATGCCCAGGGACAACAAACCCGAAACCTAACGACGTAAAAGCCGAAGTTAGCTCTTGGCTTCTCGGAGACTGCGTGCAAATCATACCTGTCTTTCAAATTTGAAGCGCTTCGTTTGTTGAATTTCAGTTCCGGCTGCGCCAAGATAGCTGTCCAGTTACCGATACCGCACTTGACCACTCCGCGAAGTAATGCTGTCGTCTCCTCCTCAGTCCATTTGCGAAGGTTCTTACGGGAGCGGCCCCTTGTCTTTGGAGAAAGTGGTTCGACATCATCCGCAGGCGGAGTAGGAGTCTTATCAGATTCGGACTTGTCACTGTCGCCCCCGGGTCGATCAACGGTCGCCCCATTCACTGAAGGGTTTGCTTCCACAGGATCTTGGTCAGCACTGGCGGTCTTGTCATCGATGGGCGAGTCAAGGATATCCTCGATTCTCCCTTCCCTTCGTTCAGCAGTCTGAGTAACCGTCGTCGTGGTAGCAGTCAATGTAACGGACTCAACAACAGCGGCATCCCGCGATGGTTTGGTGAGCAGTTGCGTGATGGAGCCAGGTTCGATAGGAGGCAGGAGAGCAGCGTTGGGGGGCGGTTCATTCAGTCCATTGAGGATTGCAAAAGGTCCAAATGGCGGAGGTCGATGTTCTTTCTGCGCCTGAGGGATCGGAAGCTGCAAATGTTCTCCGAAGGAATCTGTCTGAACATCTAAACGGCGACGCTTGCGAGCCAGAGAGTCATCGTCGAACGAGGAATACGGGAATCGTTCCAAAGCTCGTAAGTTAACAAAAGCTGGCAATATGGTTTTTGGAGGAGGCTCCAAGCTCAGAAGCGTGTCTACCGCATGACCGTTCTTCTTCGACTGGGCAGCGTTCAAGAACTCCGTAAGAGTGGGGAGATTGGCGGGCTGATTCGTTCCAGGCGTATTGGATTTGGTGCTCGCATTTGGCTCACCGATTCCAGTGGCATTCGGTTCAAGAGGTGATGGAACGCTCAGCAGACGGGAAGAGACAGGCTGTCGGAGAGGAGCAATGCGGAGACTTTGGAGCTGTGGAAGTTCGCGAAACAGAGACTCGTCAAGAGGTCGAGATGAAGTGCCGTTAGGATCCATTGTAGGGTTTCGTGCCATCTGAAAGGCACGTCACAATGCGATGATGGACATCACCGAACAACCAAAAGTTGCTGTACAGTCCATTGTGATGAGAGGCATTGGAGACTCTTACCATCAGAAGAAGCAGAAAAGCAGGTTAAGAATTGCCCGAAATCCTGATCGGATCATGATGGAACCCCAGGCAACATTACGGGAGGGGCATTGGCCCAATAGCGCAGTTCCGGTTTTCGATGCAGATGACTAAGGCCGCCATCACGGGTCTATTGGGAATCTAGATCCTTGGATGTGCCCCGAAAACATGGATATTAATCAATTCACTGGGATAAAGGTGATTCAGAGAAGGCAATATACTGATTAGTTTGAAGAACAGGATGTGTATTCACTGTTTTGAGTAAGGGGGCAGGCATTAGGCTGATGATGAGTACGAACACCTCAGGATCGGCTCTCATCTACTTCTCTGAGCGAGTCGCCCCTTAGTAAACAACAACCAATAGCTTCATCTTTCCTACAGGGTGCATAGTCAATTTCATCATATCGCGCATCTTTCGAATCAAGTCTGTCCAATTTGAAGCCAAGAAACGATCCATCAAGTCTGAAAATGTCCACTATTTTCCCGACTTGGCCTCACATCCTCTTTGCCGTCATAGAGCCGATCACCCTGTACGCCCCCGACTCTCATCCATGTACCATTCTGAGGCAATCAACTAATAGACACAGCATTGGAGGTTGGGCTCTCCCCTTCTGGGACCTCAAAGCGTTCATAACAGATCAAATCCCTGGTCTCGCAGGCCCGGAATCCGTCCATCCAACCAGTGCAGCCCTCGCCTTCCAGCTAGCCAACCTCTATGGTCTCCTCAGTATCCTAGGTATCGGAGTCTGCTACTCGACTACCGAGCCCAGGGTGCTGCGTAACTACCTCTATGCTCTGGCCATCGCTGATGTGGGCCACATCTACGTGACGTATTGTTGCATGGGCCATGACAGATTTGTCGATGTTATCAATTGGAATGTTTTGACCTGGGGAAATATTGGGATCACCGGCTTTCTGATGATCAATCGAATTGCTTATTTGGCGGGATTGTTTGGAGAGGCGAGGGGGGCGGCGAATAAAATCCAGAAGCGGGTCTGAAACAGGTTGGATCGGCAAGGATGATGTATTGCTTGCAACGTTCTTGCGAGGTGCTGCATGAGCTAGACTCGATGATTGTCTGAGGGACTCAATGCATCCGAAGGGTCTGTCTCTGTCGAAGATCATGATATCAGCGATAAGAGGTAGAAACGGCGAGAAAATAACAGCTCCCCTTTGGTCACTCGAGTTGATAGGCTTGAAGAAACTCGTGAATGAGGCTGCTAAATCCGCGATAAACGCGTTCTATATGCGAAAGGCAATCCATGATCTGAATCCAAAATCGTGTAACCTACCAACTAGATGATATCAATCTAAATGAACCACACACAAATGTCATCCGCCTATAGACCAGCAGTAGTTCTATCCTTCCTGTAACGCCGAACCCTATACCAAGAGGCGTCTGCATATCATATGAGCGACCTGCACTCGTTCATCAGCGTGTACAAATCTGCAAGTTGTTGAAGAATTGACGCAATGCTAGCTCTCCGTGCTGCTGGATTTCCCGAAGGTGTGGCAAGAGAAATGGAATGCCTGGAAAGTCTTGAAACTGCCGGCGATAGGCTGCGTAATTCCGGAAGGGGTTCAACAGATAGACTAAGTTAGGGGGTAACACCGGATTCAGAGCTACGGTACTAGTGCCGTTGTTGGTGTTGGTAATCGTCAGAGCTGTGATGCTGTACTTCTGCAGACCGTCCAGAACAGCAGTGAACGAGTGATAGTTGCGATTGGCCAAGAGAGCCTGCATTACGAGTCAGTGTTGGTGGGAGATTGAGGTATGACATCAGCTCGACAATAGATGGGTACGCACCTCTGCACATTCCTGCAAATATGGTACCAGATCGGGCAAGGCTGAGCAGCATTCCCACACGGCCGTGCTTAACAGGCCCCATTCTTCGACCAAGCGTCTGGGTACGGAACTCTCCTCAGCAATTGATGGTGGCGTCAGCTTTGAGAATTGGCCCTCGTCAATATTTGTCAGGGTTCGCGAAAAGTCCACGGCCGATGTCGAGGCCAAGAGGTCGTCCAAGAAACACACGCTGGTGTTGAAGGGCTGAACCCAGTTCATTTCCCGTGCATGCACGTATGCTTGCTCAAAGCGCACCCCAAGGGCGGAGAGTACCTTGAGAATGGAGGTAAGGCTGGGTGGGGAATCCTGGAATAGGTTCTGAATAGGCCCAGCTATGAATTCAAACGCCAGCGTTTGACTCGAGACTAGCGGCACGTCCAACACGGTCTGAGATTGCATAGAGAGCAGACAGTGAACCAAGGCACGATGGGCGAAGGGGCTCCGGCCTCGGAGGTGCTGTGCAGAGTGTCAGTAAGAAGAGTCTGCAATCTCATCACCTGTGCAAGGCCACCTACCTTCTCAACCTCAGTATACCGTGCAACTTCCTCAGGGAATGCATTGAGATAGTTCAAAAGATGAATGTAAAAGGCAGTGTGCTGTTGTAGGAACCAATCGACGGAGGCGGCTGGATACCCCAAGGAGTAACGGACAAGCTCCTCAAAAGAAATGCGCTTAAAGTGAAGATGACTCTCCGCATCAATATCTCTTGCCAATGCGCGAGGATCCGGATCTCGGTCCTTGTGTGAGGGAAACCAACTCCATGAAACAGAAGGAGGGCTGCTAATCGTTGACCGCCGAAGAATCTCTTCCACCTTTTGAATATGAGACAGGTTGGAAAGGAGGAATCTCTCGTGCGGCTCGAGAAGTGAGAGCAAAAAGGTATCTATCGTGGTTGCATTGCGGCTTTGCAGCGAGGTGCGGGGAAGATTGGGATCACGAAAGAGCCCGTAGCGGATCACGCGCTTAATCTCTTGCACGTCAAACGCCCAGAGCACCGTAGTGGCTTCGTCTTCCCACCAGCGGTAGGGTACAAAGAATGGTGTCATCTCGGAGTCGGAGCGGAACAAGGACGTATAACTGGATTGCTCCGGCATGTATGTTACCCTGCTTGCTTCCCCCACCGCATAACCGGGCGAATACCGGGACATGTCGGTCTCTGTGCTTGATAAGAGGAGAGAGCTGTTGTCGGACGAGGTCGCTATTATCCCAGGCGACCGCTCAAACACGGCTTCTTCGTAGGGGCTGGCGGAATACATCTCAGAAGTCTGAGAATCATATCAGTCACTTCGACAGCATGGAGGGGCAGATACCGTATCCTGATACCTTTGATGTTTCTGGGCGAGACTCTGCGTTTTAGCAAGCCGACATGAGTTCAAAGACCGCTGGTAGGTCCTATCTCCAGAGATTCAAAGTCCAGCAGTGGGAGAGTCTGGAGGAGGAAGCGTCTTCGAAACTTTGTTGATCAAATCAATCTGCGAGTGGGATTTGCATGAACGATACGTGATACCACGTAGCAGGATAAAGTTCAAGAGGAAAAAAAGAAAAGAGAAGAAAAAGAAAAACCACGCAAGTGAGGACTAAAAAGACGATCAAGAAGAGGTAGGAAGCAACTGGTAACAAGCCAAGGCAGCTATGGGGGAACAATATCGGCGTCGGAGACCTGGTAAAGGTGGAATGGAGACTTCTATTATTATTACAGCTAAGAGCTTCAATTACCTTATCTTCAGCTGTGGCTTTTGCCTTCTCCTGCTTCTTCTTCTTCTTTTCCCTGTCCCATTCTTTTCTTATTCCCCAAGGGGGCCAGAGCTTGGGCTGTCGTCTCAGAAAGCATACTTACCACTTGAATCTGCAACATTTTGCCACGTTATACAAATCACGAGGAAAACGTATGGGTCTCTCGATTCCTTCATCATTGGCCGGAAAGTCTAGTAAACAGTTCTTTAGAGCTTCGGGCCTGCAGAACAGGGAGGCATGGCGGCAAAGTGGCGCATGGCGAAGGGCGAAAGGGCGAAAGGAGTTGACCCATATCCAAATTACTGGGTCCCAGGAGCCAGGTTAGCCTTGAAAGAGGGTGGTGGAATGTTCACATGGGAGTTATGATTGACTGCTAGATGATTAGACTATCCATTTGGCCCAATAGTCTAGTATGATACGGAGGAAATACCGGACGTGAATCAGGTCGGGGGATCCAGGAGTGTTGCATAGACTAATTCATTGAATTTTTGCGTTTCATCCGTAGTCCATAGATACATAGCGATGGAGTGACTGGAAGAAAGGGGGGCTGGGCAGCAGCCACCGCTGATCAAATAATAGCCTTTATTGAACGCAAAGACATCATGTCATTATCATCGCGTTAGGATTGCCCATTGCCCAATACCCTAGCCGCCCATTTCCATTGGTACATGAAGGAGACGACGGCAGGGGCCGTTCTATCGAACCACTGCGCTGGGAATCGGCTGGGGAGCGGCAACTGCGTCAACGGAAAGGCAGAATGTCAAATAGAAATCGAGGGCAGAGAGCGAATCTTCCTCGATTAATTCCCACAAATTACAGTTATCTAATTACCAAGTAATTATTTGAATGTGGATTTGACGTACCTGCGTACCTGGCTGGTATCGAACTGCACCTATCCCACCGTTGGGTTGGACTCGGTGAGCCCGCGGCGGTCCAGTTGGTAAATCCTCCCCAACGTCGCCAGCCTGTTGTTAACTAAGTCCTTCTCATTATTTCATCGGTGTTAAATGTTCGAAACTGAGGGAGAGGGAAACAGAGAGAGAGAGAAGCGGTCAAGAGCCAACAATGTGCTGTTGTACTCTGTACTGTCCTCGCAAGCCCAAGAATGGATTACACCAGTCAACCCTGGAAGATTCCGCCTGTGCGCCATCGGTCATGTATGTACGTACTCGGCCCGGGTGTGCTCTCCCCTTGTGTCACTGCCCCAGGAAGCTTTGGGCCATACTCATGTAGTATGTAGCGGTGTGGCTCCTTCACTCCAGTAACAAAACACAAGAGTCTCAGTATTCTCGCCTCTGAAGCGCCCTTGGAGATGACCGAAAGCAATGAGAAATTGAGGATCATGAATCAAACATGTTTAAGAGCAAAATCGACTGCATGTCTCAAGGATGGAGCTGAAAACGTACTCCACCGCAGCACTCGCCACTTCCTCTCCATACGTTGAACGTGACAATTATGGAGCATAGGCAGAATGTAGCACATTATACATGCCTAGGACACATTCTTTCAGCTCGAGACCTGTACAGTAGAACGCAGCAGACAGTGATGCTGGACAAGTAATAAAGCTTTGTAGGCTTGACCGAGCCATAGCCATCCAACGCCACTGCAATTCAAATGCGCGATCATAACTGCAAGTCTGCAAGCACTGCATTTGAGTCTTGGAATGACTTGGAATGACTTCAATATTTCTCACCCAAGCTAGTCTGGAACTCTGGAACTGGGCGTCGGTCGGGGCCGTGTCGATCCGAATTCGGTTCTAAGTTACAGTGGTGGTCCCGTGAATCATCATTGACGGAGTTAGTTACAGGCCAGTGGGGAGATTGAACCCAAGCACCCACTTCTCAAGTTAGATAGATAGTTGCTACCATACAATTGGTGTTGGTGCTAACTGCTACTTGTTGTTGGTGGTGTCTCTAGGTACTGTAAATCTCCCTCCCCAAGAAGGCGATGCGTTCAACGTCATCTATCGTGGACCGGTATAACTATGTTCAAATATATGTTGACAGTCCCACGTAACTTGAATTTGCGGCACTTGCATTGATATTAGTCCACGGTTGGGCAGCTAGATAGATCCATCGATACCTTAGGAGTTGAACTCTCGTATTGGGGTAATAATGGTTAGTAGGTCTTTATGCGCCGGTTGGCGAGGAGAAAGCAGCTGGCGTCCGGGATCTCAAGTTCTCCCCGTGTCTTCGGCTCCATGTTATTAACATCGGCAGCGCAGAGGGTTTTCATAAAACTGAGCCTACTATTATTATTAAACGAACCAAGTCGAATCGGAGCGTCCGTCAAGAAGACCTTGTCCTGCGGAGGCACATGATTTCGAGGTTGTGTCGCCCTATATAAATGGTATCTGTATCTCGCATTAGCGCTGGTCCAAAGTTATCTGTCCACCCTGAGATAACCGAACTAAATCAAACCGTCGCGTCGGAGTGGCTTTGTACTCCCTAGCAAGGTTTTGGCTCTGGTGGAGCTCTTCGCGGCACGAAACCATTCACAACAGCTTCCCCACGTCGGCGACCACGAATGTGGACCTCAAGAGGTAACATGGAGAGCTGGATTCTTGGGAAACAGACATTACGGGGCTTCCGTCTAGCCAGTGTGACCTTAGTCTTTTTCGACCTTTGGTTGGATTCCGGCATGATGGTCTGGTTGGCCACGGATTAATGTCTGTGTATGCGACAGTTAAGAGTTGTGAGTTGTCTGGATATTATTATTAGTCGTTGACTCGTTGCAAGATCACCCCTTCAAATAAGAGACTAAGAGTAAGAAGAAATCGGAGAAGAGATCATTCGTCACGGTCATGCTCCTTTTGAAGCGGTGGGCCGCTGTACGGTCAACGGGCCGGATGAACTCGCTCACTGCAAGTAATTCCCTACGAGTACTGCTGAAGGCACGAGGGAGATGTTGACACGTCCAGTGAATGGCACTGTACAGAGTGCTTCCGTACCGTGGCTTAGACACAAAATGACCAGGATGATGAATTGCTGCGCATATTGTTGCTAGACCGTCCTTGCCCCAATCTTGTCAATCTCTCATAACGAGGTCTCGCACTTGAGAGGATTCGGCAATAAAAATCGAAACTAGCCAAGTAGGTACGGAGTAATTGTGGCCAAGCGATCAAATCATATCAACGATAATGGGAATTTGAGTTCATTTGACCAACGGGATTCCGTCGACAGCCCGCTCCCCTGCTTCGATCGATCACTACTTACTTATGATGGAATTTGAAAGATGATAGGTTCTCAGTAGTGGGCTTGTACCTAGCCTTGCATTGGCCCATTACCCAGGTAACTATTCCAGTTACAACGGCACGCTTAGAAAACCAACTGAGATCGCCAGCTCAATTGACTGGTCACTTAGTCCTAAAAGTGAGGCGGGCTTAATTTCTGCGTTCATGGATCGGAGAAGTGAATTAAGTCCACTCGGTCGTTCTTTCCTCTCTCTTGTCTTCATTTCGTATCGGTCTGGAATAAACCCCAGGATGTAAGCTTTAAAATGAGTACCTTCAAGTGCTGCATGAAGAATTTAAGCAATGAAAAGCTCACGTACTAGACTCCACGCAAGTTCAGCTTGTCTTGATGGGTTGCAAAGGATATGGATGCAGGCTACGGCCGTCTTGACGCTAGTACTGGTCCGCTGCACAGATCGCTGCTCGGGGTTTACGAGGGAAAACTACGAGTTTAAGGGTGCATGAGCTGAACAGCAGGGAATGAAAGGGAATCAGAATTAGACAGCGCTCATGAAAAAAAGAATAAATCATAGGTATCATATCAAAGAACTGTGAGACACTCCGTTCCTGTTTTGCTATAGATGGATCCTACGAGAGGTCTGAACCTGATGTCGCATGAACCATCAGATCCCTTGAATGCGTATTGAGACAACTTTTCTTTCTTTTTTCAGGTTACGCATCATAGAATCGTCTCATGAACCGGCATCGTACAGGCCACAAAGCAAGACAAGACGTCGACGCCCCAGCGGATTATTGAAGGCTTTTTTATTATGTCCGTCACCATTGGCACTTACCACACCACATTTAGTTGGCGAGAGCGTAGGCACGGCGGCGGTCACGCTCCTCAGCAATGGTGAGCTAGATTAGTTGTTAGCAGATGCGCAATGGAATCACAATCCTCGGGGTGTAATTTCGTACCTTGACACCCTTGCCCTTGGGCAGAGAGATCCAGGGCTTCTCCTGTCCAATGACGAAGACGTTGGACTCACGGGTGGCGAAGGAGTTGTCAATAGCGTCCTTAATGTGGACGATGTTGAAACCTCCATCGTGGCGCTCACGGTGAGTGATAACACCAACACGACCCATGTTACGACCACCGGTGACCATGCAGACAACACCAGTGTCGAAGCGGACAAATTCGGTAATCTTGCCAGTGGCAATGTCAACCTTCACGGTGTCGTTGACCTTGATGGCAGGGTCGGGGTAGCGGATGCTAGATTCATGTCGGTCAGCACAAACTGCACCAAATGTTTCAACCTCTTACTGATTCCAGTAAGGAAGGATTTGGGGATATCCAAGCCCTCTCGTCCTCCGCCGATCAACCAAAGCTTGGTCCAACGACTGAATGACGCGGAACTTGTGGAGAGCATTTCACTCACGTTCTCGCATCGTGCGTAACCAAGAATGGGATCCCGCCCTTGCCAAGCTGAACTCTCTTGACCTTGCAGAGCTTGTACTCAGCCTCCTCAGCCTGGATA